CCCCAAAACCCCAAAACCCCAAAACCCCAAAATGAGTATCGTTGATTAAAAACTTTAATTAAACATGAATCATTAATATATTTTACTTTTGGAGTTGCTTTTTCAGCTCAAAAAGCTTCTTATAAAGCCTCCCAATATAGCTATTCTCATCTTCTACATCGTTCAAAATAGTCTCCTCACTGTGGCCTAGTTTAGCAATATTTTTGACGATCTGATGATCAAGAGAGAACTTCGAAACCGAGTTCTGTAAAAGGAAATCTTTTGATGTCGTATCTATTTTGATGCCTCCACATTTAGCTTTCTTCCTCTTCTTTTTCTTAGGTTTTTCGTAGTACACATCCATGAACCACTTGTCAATGATCACCTCAGTGGTGGAAGCTCTTGAAAGTTGATCTTTAGTCAGCATTCTTTCAATTAGCTCAACTGCTTTTGAAGATAAGTGATTAGGAAATTTTACTTTCTTCTCTTTAAGTTGTCTTCTCAATTCATCATCGCTTTTTCCCTGAAAAGGGAATTTCCCAGTCAGTAATTTAAATAGACAGACTCCTAGGGCCCATGTCTCCATCTTATTAGGGTCATAAGGGATTCTGATCATCAGCTCAGGCGCCATATAGTTAGGAGTACCTCAGAACGTATTTAATTTCCTATTAGGGGTATACTTAACTGCAAATCCGAAGTCCAAAATTTTAATATTTCCGGTTTCCATTATGACTATATTCTCTAGTTTGATATCACGATGACAGATATTTTTGGAATGGAGATAATCGACGCCTTCAGCAATTTGCTTGAAAACCTTCTTACATTCTTTCTCCTCTAGCCTAAAATTAAGCTAGGATTCTTACCTTAAGATCCTATTTTTGTTTTATGTAATCTGAAAGAGGAACACCAGTGACTAGTTCCATGACAAGATATATATTAGTCACCGTTTCATGAACAGAGAAAAGTTTCACCAGGTTAGGGTGGTCAAGTCTTCTGATTATCTTAATTTCGTTGTTGATGCTCTTTAACTTGTTAGCCTGAGTCATTTGGTATCTATCATAAACCTTAATGGCATAGTTTTTGCCGGTCTCTTTATGCACAGCTTGAAAAACTTCTCCATAAGCTCCCTTTCCGATCAGGTCTCCAAGCTCGTAGTCTTCTATACTACCTTGCTTGGATTGGAATTTGAACTTCCCAAAAATATGAGTCGGAAGCTTCCTTGATTTCCTGACAGTTTTGGATTGATCATTCTGGGGGTCCAATTTTATCTATCAAAAATTATCATCAAGAGGTGGAAATATAAGATTCAAACACTTTTATAATTCTGAATTTTCTTATTTCAATGTGCAACTATAAATTTTTACTATTAAAACTATTCTTGAAACTTTCAAACATCTCTGGCTTATCCTGGTGATAAACTCAAGCAGAATGGAGAGAGAAAAGCTAAGGCCTACATTTTACTATCTGGGATTACGAAGGAAGAGGAGGTATGATGAACATCCCTATTCATCCCACCTTTCATCCTTACTCTTACAGCGATGGATTCATTCATCCTTATTTTCCTATGTAAGAGTTAGAACTAGCACTGCCAAGGGAAGATTAAGAATGTTAAATTACTTCTTAAACGGTGAGAAATCCTTCAGCTTTTTAGAAGTATTTCTTGCATAACTTGGCATTTCGTTCGATTTCAGCAGTCCTTGGTTCAAGCTCCCCTGGGTTGCTCTTCATCCAAGGGAACTTCTATTCTTCCCTTGCTGCTTGCACTCATCTCTCTTGCTAAAATTCTTCTTGTGATGAATATTAGGAAGGAATCCTTCTGGAGAGGAGGCTGCTAGCATGTCGAACTTGTTCTTGTAACTCGTCTTCATATATAGCATTTTCTACTTTTAATTCTTATAACAAATTTCTATTTTATACTTCCTTTTGGGGTTTTGGGGTTTTGGGGTTTTGGGGGTTTGGGGTTTTGGGG